ATTTTGGGCTACAAAGTAGCAAAAGTAGCCCAATTTTGGGCTACAAAGTAGCGAAAATAGCCCAATTTTGGGCTAAAAAGTAGCAAAAGTAGCCCAATTTTGGGCTAAAAAGTAGCGAAATTTTGGGCTAAAAGTAGCGAAAGTAGCTCAATTTTGGGCTAAAAGTAGCCCAATTTTGGGGTAAAAAGTAGCCCAATTTTGAGCTAAAAAGTAGCGAAAGTAGCCCAATTTTGGCCTAAAAAGTGGAGAAAGTAGCGAAATTTTGGGCTAAAAAGTAGCGAAAGTAGCCCAATTTTGGCCTAAAAAGTAGCCCAATTTTGGGCTAAAAGTAGCAAAAGTAGCCCAATTTTGGCCTAAAAAGTAGGGAAAGTAGCGAAATTTTGGGCTAAAAGTAGCGAAAGTAGCCCAATTTTGGGCTAAAAAGTAGCGAAAGTAGCCCAATTTTGGGCTAAAAAGTAGCGAAAGTAGCGAATTTTTGGGCAACAAAGTAGCGAAAGTAGGGAAATTTTGGGCTAAAAGTAGCCCAATTTTTGGCTAAAAAGTAGCGAAAGTAGCCCAATTTTGGGCTAAAAAGTAGCGAAAGTAGCCCAATTTTGGGCTAAAAAGTAGCGAAAGACATGAGTTACAGCTCAACATACACCCCCTTCAGGTATTGCTAGTTAGGCTGTTATGGAAGCTTCATCCAACCGCAGATTGGATGAAGGTAAGCAGTTGCGGAAGCCTCATCCGCCCGCAGTTGTGGAAGCCTCATCCACCGGCAGTTACTGTTAGATAAGCAGCTCTGGAAGTCACTCACTCTGGTATCAATTTTGCCTCTGTTCACCCAGCAGTGATTAGGAACCTGGGTGTTTGTCGACTGTTGTGGGTGGCATCCTGGGGAATAGTCAAATGCTGCATATATCAGAGGTATACTCGAGTATTCCACAAACGCCGCAAGGCACAGCACGAAGAAAGTAACTGGAAGACTACACATGAAATATCCCGCAAGGCAAAGAACCTAGAGTCACAAGGCTACTGCAGGGAGTGAGCCGGAAGGTCACAGAATCCAAAAAAGGGTTCACGCCCAAACAAGGTAACTACAGTACCACGAGTCGTGATCAGTAAATAACATTGACTTGGGTTTGGAGAGGTAGACGCCAATATAGTTAAACAAATTTATCCCAGTAAAAACGAAATGCGCAAAATTATTTATCCAACAGCTGGACTCTCATCCCGCACTCAGAGCAATGTGGCGCTGTTAAATCCTTCAATAGCTGATCCTGTAATACGGCCCACAGTCGTTGAGTACGACCCCGTGAGCCAAACGTCCCTTGCCCTCCCGAGACGGACATAACCAAGAAAAAATATTATGATCTGTTTTGAGGTTAGTTATCTTAAACCAAAGTCGACAAAGCTTCAGTAAAAGACGTTACCGAAGCATTCAAACGTTCAAGAGTGAAAGAGCGAGACAAATATGATGGTAATGTTTTGTCGTAGCAGCGATCCACTCTCAAACCAGACTCAGAAAATGTTCACCTAGCTATTTAGTATTTCAGTATTGAAGCACTTCAGTATTGCTTTTATTTTTCCGTCTGACTTATTCCGTCTGATTCAGCAAATTAAAACCAGAATCGAGAATGACAGCATATTTGCACATTACAACTAGTAAAAAGAGTTTGTTTTACAAATATCTGGAATCTTAGTGTGTGTATGTGCGTCCTACAATTCGTCAGACCCATTGAAAGCGGCGAGCCAGATCCAAGATTTGGCAAGCGTTCTTGGATGAGTTCCAGTTATACGTCTCTGAGCCCTTCAGAGACATCGCTCTCTGTCACCCTTCCACGCCCCCCCTTCCCTCTCTGTCTATCTCTTTTTATCTACCCTCTCTTCCCCACTTTCTCTTTCTCATGGCCGTGAGGGGAAAGGCACTGAAGGGAAAAAATGGACGATAATGTCCTCTCTTGCTATTTTTTTTAAGCTTTGTAAGGTTCAGCTCCTTCAATATGTCCTCACAACATAATTTTCTCAATACTTACAGTATAAAGGTGTCTTATAGCAGATCTCTGTACTTTCCTTAATACATGAAAAAAGTCAGGGAATAATTCCGGTTGTCTTCTTGCAAATGTTACCCTAGCAAGATTTGCAATAGATTTTTCCACAAGAACGTTTCAAGATGTTTTATTTAAAACTGGAATGGGCCCGTATGTCATTGTTATGTCAGTATGTAACGATGTAATCAGTAAAACCACTTGTACTGATATTATGTGTGAAGAACATTTGTGTGTCTGTGTTCGATATTATAAATCCAGACATAATAGGGTTTCATCTCGATTTATTGGACTAGTTTTAATCACAAGCACTATCTCTGAAGCCTTGTATCAACACCTCAAACATTATATTGGCAATATTGGAGTTGATTTTGCAGTTGACACGGACGGGGCATCAAACCTGTGTGGACCTCATCTCTCACTTTACACCTTGATGAAGAAAGTCATCCTTAGTTTGTTTCTTATCAAATGCACATCATTCCTTGCATTTAGCCTGTTCTCGCGCATCTGACATCAACTTCATGATAAGAGAAAATTATAGTTTTACACAGAACTTCATAAAGGAGAGACAAAAAATGCAGATCAGTGTAGCAATCACATTGACTTGGAAAGCTGAGAGGAATCGGGCATCCTGATTATGCAAAGCTTCGTGTTAATTTGGGCTTCAGTTCCATTTATCTGGTCCTTGAGCTAGACTTTAACTACTAATTTTCTACACTTTTAGTCATTAACAGACAAAGCAATGAAAAGCTTGAAAGTGTTGAACAAAGATACCATAAATGTTTAGTGAGAGCTTACAAAGAGCTTCTATATTACATTCCTAGTATTGCTGAGACTTTTAAAAGGTGAAGAACTAGTCACTAGCATATGCACCCTTAGCTACAGACAGCCACCATTTTCAGAACTTCCATTAGTTCTAGATGACCAATTAGCTGAACTTAGTCAAATTGAAAACCAGTGGCGTCTACTGATAACCACTGACTGGTCCAGCAAGGTTTAAGAAGCCTCGACCCATGGATGGCTTCTTAAACCTTGCTGGAATCAACCTCACTGAGGACCAAATAACTCTCTTAAAACTGGGAATAAACTGTCACGTTATGTCCAGACCAAATGAGATAGCCCAGAAAGTGGAGTTGGAGATCCTATTGGACGATATATTCGACCTCGAGACGCAAAAGGAGGTTGCCACTAAAGACACATTGCAAGTGGAACTTATTGCAGAAGGAAGAAAGATTCGAGGTAACTACAGAAGCACCATACTGTCCCCTGAACTCAAAGCAGCAGCTAAGAGCCTTCGTGAGAATAAGGAGACAGTCGTCAGGAGAGATGACAACTCGCCAATATACGTTATTCTTAAAAATGACGAATATCTGGCAAAAATGAACTTTATACTCTCCGACCAAACTAAATTCCAAAGGATAACGAAGGACACTACAGCCGAATTGAAAACAAAGGTAAACAGATTGAAATTGTGAACACCAAGAAATCCGGACTCCACCTGACAAAGGTTATCAGGGAATACAAACCTGGTTACGTATATGGGAATGTCAAGACCCACAAGCCTGGAACCCACTTCGGCTAATCATCAGCCAGATAACCACACCCACATACAGACTGGCTAAGCGACTCAACTGCCTGCTGACTCCTTATGTGCCTTGTGCTTTTAGCCTGAAGTCTCCAAAGGAATTTTGTTTATTTTTTTTTATTTTTACATGCAAGCATGCAAGTTAAAGACAATAAATACAATAAAACAACATAGGAAACAACAAAACAAAAAAAAAACCACCAGCCAGAAGGACCGACAGCACAGTACAACAATTAGCAAAACTGGAGAAACGCATGAGAAACACAGCATACATCAAGACAAGAATCATAACACAAAATAGAAAATATAAACAAGCAAGCAATGCAAGCAAATAAAGACAAGAAAACAGCACAGAGTAACATATGAAACAAATCAAACAGAAGAACCAGCCAGAAGGACCGACAAACAAGCACATCATGAAGTACAACATGAAATATAACACAAGAAAATCATAACATACAACAAGCCATAAATAAAAAATAAAAATAAAAAACAATACAACATGTAAGGCATAAATATAACAATGGGGGCAAAGTAACAACACAAAAACAAATACATGAATACGCACACCACGCACACCAAAACCACTGGCCTCGCAACAAAGGGAGAGGCATGGGCACATAATACAATAGGGCAAACAAACAGCCAGAGGGGCACACAACACTACATAAAGCAAATAAACAGGAAATCAGCGGACATACTTGCCCGGGATCACGACCCGTAGGAACCGTACATTGAATGCTTCCCAGAGTATCCACCACCAAGGGTCCCGACCATCCACGGGGAAAGCCATGAACCAGAACCTTGGCAACAAACACCCGCAAACAGGGGACCCAGATGGCATTGCTTATGAGGCGAGTAGTTGCCCCTCTCCCCCACATGCAGGGAACCTGCCCACTATGAAAGTTCTCCGGCTCGTCAGACAGCATTAACTAGGCAATCGCTGTCCAGTGACCCAGCGGGCGACATCAGACGCCGGCAACACGTCCCCCAGGGCCCCAACGTTCATTCTCACACAAGTGAACCTGACAGAGGGCACCACCACAGGGGCACCTGCGGCCACGGGCACACCACCAGACGACTGCAGGGAACCTGGACGGCGCGCATCCTTCTGTAACGTCACGACTAGGCCACGCCCAGCACCAGTATCCACACCATCCCTGGCAGCGGAAGCCACCACCCCCCACGCATAGCATTTCGGGCAATCTCATTATCTTCACATAAGCTAAGGAGAGTATATAGTAAGTATATTTTATAGTTAATATACTTGCTACAAGCTATTAAGCTTTGCGTTTAATCCTTTACGGGTATGTCAGGGCGCATCCGATCCCTAGATCAGATGTGCCTTTTTATCTGTGCAAATAGTATCTGCTATATTTTGCCCCCAGATGGCCAGCTGTATGTGGGGACCATTGCGGACTTCGCTGGGCTGGAGCCTCTCATTTACCGCGAACCATTGCGGACAGAGCAGTACGATCTCTCCACCTTAAATTGTAAGTTTAGAACTGCTCTCAATAGGTTATTTATTTTAGTTTTCTTAATTGAATGATTTTATATCTACAATAATGTATGTATGTAGGTATGATTACTGAAATACGTATGTATTTTTTTCAGCTCCTAACTTCGTGAGCTCTTTTGCGCTGGGAGACTTTGTATACTTCTTTTTCCGGGAGATCGCTGTTGAATACCTCAATTGTGGCAAGGTAAGCACACCTCCCTAACACCTTCAGATTTTGGACATTAGGAACCAAAATTAAGCAAAGTTTATTCAGGTCATGTTGGTTATGCTAAGTAAAGTAGTTATAAATAATTGTTGGATTGTGTATGAGAATTGTACAGCAGCCCGTCCCGTCCTCAGAGCAAATCCTATACCTTGAGAAACTACACTCCCCCTTTAAAACCACCTCGATAGTTATTAGATACGTTATTTGTGATGGTCTGAAAGCATATTACGGTTCCAGTAATAGTCTACATGAAAATGACATGGGAACCTTTGTCCTAAACCGAGATTATTCCTAAGTTATAACTTTAATGTATGTACCAAAAATCGTTGGTTTTAAATAAAAGTGTATGCTGAAAAAGTTTTCTTTTAGGAATTTTGTGTTCTGTAAACAGAATTCTCGGGTACACATTAAATGTTATTAAATTCCATATTTCACATTGTCAGTAATACACCGAATTAGCCTAACCTAGCTTAACCTAGCTTGCCTACCCTTGCCTCACAAGTCCAGGCTGGACTTGGGGGAGTAGAACTCCCAGAACCCTTTCCAAGTATGCTCCAGGTATGCCTAACCTTTCCTAACCCTAACCTACCCATAGATAGAGAATACATAATAGCACTAATTATGTAGTCCTTCCAAATCCATTCTGTTGAGCATTCTACTCCCCGAGGGCAGGTTGTGTACAGAGGCTCAAATTAGAGTTTGTGAAATTGTACTTCTGTCAGTTTCAAGATTTTAGAAGTGGCCTGAAGGGAGCTGAGCAAGATAATATGAATGGATAAGGAAATTATGTACAAAGTGTATGAACTTTAAAAAGCTTCATTACTGTCTTTCATATAATTTTTACAAAACTCTCCTCACCGTTTCAGTCACTTGTATGTGGTAACAGAACAAAATATAATTCAAGACTAGAACACAATGTGTCTGGAACCAGTATCATTGCATGTAGATTAATTATTTAAATAATTTTCTTAAAATAACATGATTATCATTATTGGTTTTACCAATTTGGAATCTGGTATACTGTATATAAAGGGATGTAGATTTGTCTGAACTAATAATAATAGTAGTAATAATAATAATAATAATAATAATAATAATAATAATAATAATAATGTAAATACCAACATGAGAGTAGATTATACTTGTAGAAGACATTTCATTTGTAAGGACTTCATCAAGCTTAATAAAAAAAAAATGGTTTATAAGGGCTTTATAAATACTGTACATTTAGGCACATTAATTTAGTACATAAACGTCATTTTATTTCTGTATTAACAAATTTAGTGGTACATCTACATTTGGCATAGAGAGGCACGTAATCAGTAGCCTGCTCTTGCAAATTTTAAATAGATTGGTGAGGATGTTCTCAAGAACACGTGTGTATAAAGTAATTGTAAAGCTACCTCATACCGATAGGTCTGAAGGGTCTAATGCCTTGGACAGTCAATAATATAGGGTGCGAGATCTTGACTCGGTTCCTGTTCACATAGTTTACACATGGAGAGCTCAGGATTGGGAGAATAGTCACTTGCCTATCTACATCCTTAGTGCTCTAATTACTTCATTTATCACCTTCCCTTTTATGGAAGGTGATAAATAGTTAAAAATGCAACTACTTCCTTTGTGCACCCAAATAATAATTTGTAATAATCTTTTATATAAAAACATACAGTACATAAGTATAATGTGTGGTCATGGTTTCTTATGGTTGAGGAACTTCAGAATCAAATTTGTATCATATGTATAAGGTGAGAATAAGTGTTTGTGTTTATAGACGTTGTACTCTCGGGTGGCTCGGGTGTGTCGCCACGACAAGGGAGGACCTCACAAGTTCCGGAATAAGTGGACCTCCTACCTCAAGTCCAGACTCAATTGTTCTGTCTCTGGGGATTTTCCCTTCTACTTCAATGAGATCCGTGAGTTGAAAAAGATTTTTATATTTTACTTAAAATTAGTTGAACAAAGGCAAGTGTACATTTATGGAGAAGCAGGAAAAATGTGTATCGTGAGCTTATCTATAAGTTTTACCTCAATCTTTTCCACTCCAGCATATTAAAAAAAAATTTGAACTTCTATTTTATATTTCCCCTTATGCTAATTAGGCAGCTTATGTTGATAGGCATTTTGGAAGAAAATATTTCGGTACCCTAGTAATTAAATTTAATTATGCAACAATAATTTATATCTTAATTAGCATTAGAAAATCTTATGATCATATAAATTTAACTACAGTACTGTTCATGTATATTGTTAATTCTGAATTTCCAGCCTCATAGTTTTAATTTGTCAATATGACTTAAGTAAATGCACTACAATACATATTCTGATTTATATTTGAAAGCAGCACTTATTATCCAAGTTTTCCAGTGTACTGTATTGTGTATTCAATTCAATTCTTAAATTATATGAAAGATCTTTATTTTTTTGTTAGCCTATGTACTGCATTTTTTAAGACATGGACAGAATGCAGTTTAATTTAGATATTATTACAATTATTGTAATACTAGAGAAACAAATTTAAGAACAGCTAGCCATTGCCATAAGAGTTAATTTATAAGGGCTTAGCACATTTGAACTAATTTACAGAGGCAACAACAGAACCAGTTGAAGGACGCTATGGAGGCCATGCCACAACTCTTCTCTATGGTGTCTTCACTACCCCAGAAAATTCCATTCCGGGTTCTGCTGTGTGTGCATTTACGTTCCAAGATATAATGGACACTTTTGAAGGTCCATTCAAGGGCCAGGCTTCTGTAAATGCCAACTGGTTGCCAGTCCAGGGAACTAAGGTAAATTTAAGTATGCAGCTAAACGTCATCTTCTATAAATGTGAGTTCTTGCATGAATTGAAAGTTTATTGTTGATTCAGGACCTATTCAACATATAAGACAAGGTGAGAAGTAAGCTTTGCATTTCAGTTACAGTAGACACAAGATATAATTTCTATAGTGTGACAGTTATTGTGCATTACAGGATAGTACATTGAGTTTTACATAGATAGGAATAAGTTTTTGAGTTTTACATTGAGTTTTACATTGATAGGAATAAGCACCTCAGTACTCCCTGTAGCTCTCCACTGTAGCTTATACATTTATTATACAGTAAATGCATTAATATTTAATAATTAATAGTTTTGAGTAAATTTTGTGAAAAAACCAGCGTTGAATGTAATGAAACGCCATTTTCTGGGTGAGTCCCGGAGGCTCCCCGGAGCTATCCCAGGCTGATATGCTAATGTCAGACTTTGGCATCAGTCATGTGTATGGAGTTCTTAGGCCTACCGGGGACCACGGCCAGAACCGGGCCCCCTCAGAGAGGCAAGGGGAGCAATGGCCTATAGAAGCCCCCATGTAGTTGGAAGCATTCTATGTCTGCCATCGACCGGAACTGGCACCCAGAAAGGTAAGCGCCCCAAAACAAACCCCTATTCTGGTTAAAATTGCTACCAAAAACCGAACTAGTGGATAGAACTCCCCAACCGAAAACAAGCAAACTAGTGTGACGTCACACACTGCCGTGCCGCTGTCTGCGCAGCTCCCCCCTCCCCGGGAGGGGGAAGGGGGAGCCCCAGACCCCCCACGCCGGCTACCCACACCTCAGTTCTTGAGGCTGGATGTCAAAAACGCGAAAAACCGCCGACCAGAGGGAGGGAGGGATGCCGGGGAGCCTCCGGGACTCACCCAGAAAATGGCGTTTCATTACATTCAACGCTGGTTTTCTGGGGGGAGCCCCGTCGGCTCCCCGGAGCTAACTACCCACAGACAGAAAAAGAGGGACTTACCCGGGAGGCGGTCGTCGCTCACCCCTCAACTCGAAGCCGAGACAACTGGCTGCAACCGCCGACCCAAAGCAACACAGGCCCGACGAGGCCCAGGGACATTCACAAGGTAACGAGCAGCCAGGACCCTGTTCGACTGCCAAAATCCCCGCGCCCGAATATCAGACCAAGACATATTCCCAAAGACGGCAGCAAGAACCGCGAACTTACGAACGTCATGGGCACGGGGATAGACCGCAGGCTGGCTGGACCTAATAACCCTGCGGACGACCTGAGAGACCCGAACCCGCGAACAGGGAAGAAGGGAAACCGGATCAACCCACAGCGCGTCCCCGGACACAGAAGCTGTGGCGCGCAAATAACGGCGAAGCGCCGCAACCGGACACAAAACATGATGCACCCCCGGCCTGACCAACCAAGCATCAACCACCCATGGACCCCTCCAGAACGCAGCAGTCTCATTCTTCGCCAGAAAAGAAGGAGACGGCTGCAAACGAACAAAACTATCACCACGACCAAAAGAGCAGAAACCCCTGCGCCGGAGGAGAGCATGAAGCTCCCCTACCCGACCCCCAGAGGCCAAAGCCAACAAGAAAAGTGCCTTGGAAAAACAATCCTGGACCGAAGGGGCCACAACGAAACGAGGAGATGAAAGGAAAGCGAGCACTCTGTCCAAAGACCAGGACGGCTCAGGCGACGCATGAGCAGGCCGGAGGTGAAACAATGCACGAGACAGCTTGCGAAACGGCGCAGACGTAACATCGATACCGAAAGCAAGCTGAAGCGGCTCCGCCAGCGCCGCACGATACGAAGCGACAGTGTTAGGCATAAGATGACGGTCCTGAAACAACCACGAGAGGAAGGACAAGACCACCCAAACAGACAAGGAGCTAACACGACGAAGACGCAAAAAGAAATGGAAGGACCGCCAGGAAACTTCATACTGCCGCCGAGAAGAAGCCCTCAGGTGGGACACCAACAAGGAGGCCACCTGATCACCATAGAGATGATGATAGACTCGAGTCAAAAAAACCATACGCGAAGACTCGAGAAGATCGAACCAGCTACGTGACGTACCGGCCCGATCTGCTGAAAGAGGCGGAGCCGCGGGAAAACCCTCGGGTTCGGACACCGAGCAACCAGCGCCTGAAACCAAGCAAACTTCTAAAGCTGAACCCCAGGGACGTGTACACTCACGGGGACCTAGCAGGGGGCGCCATCGAGGAGAACAGTGGAAGGGCAAAAACAAACTGAATAAAATGACAGAACCCCCCACCAGGCAAAAACAAAAAGAAAAACAAAACCCCGCAAGAGGACAGCGAACCCCAAGGAACACAGCCGGCCGCGATGTCGGGAAATACAAGCTGAGCAGCACCCTGCGCCCCAACCAGTGCAAACTGCCTCTTACCTGCCGGTAACAAGGGAGAACAGAACACCCAAGAGCCCAACAGGCGGCCGAAAAACCGAAAGGTAAAACAGACCAGCAGAGGCAGACCCCGAGGAGCCTGTGGAAGATGGCCCCAAGCCCCAAGGGCAGTACTTACAGGGCACCTAGGGAAGGCAACCCTAGGCGCATGCAGCCCGAGTACTGAAGATAACTCCTGGCTCTCGCACCCACAAAACTAACACCACACGCAAAGCACAGTGCAGTAGCGACACCGGAGCCAGAGCACACGACCATCGCCTATAGCATCAGCCTCAAGAACTGAGGTGTGGGTAGCCGGCGCGGGGGGTCTGGGGCTCCCCCTTCCCCCTCCCGGGGAGGGGGGAGCTGCGCAGACAGCGGCGCGGCAGTGTGTGACGTCACACTAGTTTGCTTGTTTTCGGTTGGGGAGTTCTATCCACTAGTTCGGTTTTTGGTAGCAATTTTAACCAGAATAGGGGTTTGTTTTGGGGCGCTTACCTTTCTGGGTGCCTGTTCCGGTCGATGGCAGACATAGAATGCTTCCAACTACACGGGGGCTTCTATAGGCCATTGCTCCCCTTGCCTCTCTGAGGGGGCCCGGTTCTGGCCGTGGTCCCCGGTAGGCCTAAGAACTCCATACACATGACTGATGCCAAAGTCTGACATTAGCATATCAGCCTGGGATAGCTCCGGGGAGCCGACGGGGCTCCCCCCAGAAAAGTAACCTTTCCAAGTTACATGCTGTTAAGACAAGAACATGCTTGTCTAAGGTCTAAATAACATCTTGGTTTCAGATTTTGTGTACACTGTAGTTTGAATTTTTTCTCAGTCTGACCAAGCATTCTGGTTGAGTGAATCAGCCAGGCTGTTTGTGCTTACAAATTGCATTTCTACATAGGTGCTACATCCTGGCTGATTAAGGATGCTGTACAGGAATACTCAACTACCTTGTTGAGATAGGGGTCTGTTGGTAGTTATATTTGAAGGAAGATATTCAGTTCATTTCAAATGTTTTGTTCATAAATGTTTGTAAATTTATAGTTAGATTAGTTTACATAAATTTAGATAAATTATGTTAACCAAACCACACACTAGAAAGTGAAGGGACGACGACGTTTTGGTGTGTCCTAACAAACGTGACCTAATATAAGCTTACCCTTTCATTTACCTTTCTTTCTCTTTCCTTCATTCTTTTTCTTTGCCTTGTTTTCTCTTACGATCCCTTGCTTATTACTATTACAATCACCTCTTATTCCTATTAATATCTCCTTCTTATTGGATGGTTATAAATAGGAGCGGCTTTGTATGGCCCAATAGGCCTTCTGCAGTTACCTTTGTTCTTATGTTATGTTCTTATTCATATTACTATCTCCTTTATTACACCTTATCTTTCGTACCTTTTGCCTTGCTTTTTCTTCTAAGATTTTCTTCTCCTCACCTCTCTTGCCTATTTATTGCCTTGCTCCTTCCCTTATCAAAATCAACTTGAGAATGGTCCAGGACGGACTGAAACGTCATCGTCCCTTCACTTTTTAGTGTGTGGTTTGGTCAACATATTTCAGCCATGATATTGTGACTCCTCGTCTGCATTTAGATAAATTATTTACCTAAGAGAAAGTCATAATACTATCATAACATGTATATACTATCTATAATTATATACTGCATGTTCAAGATTTAGATATAACATTTATCAATGCTTTAAAACTCACTACAGTTGTCAAATTGAGAATCAACAACTATGTTCATAACTAACATAAATCATTACAATAGTGGCTGAACAAGTGTACATCAGGCTAAATCAAACTTACAATTTTGGTACAAAGAGCTTACAATTTGAAAGGCAATACAGTGTATATATTAGAAATCAATGGGTAGTTTTCTGTTAGAATAGTAAGACATATTGACACATTTTATATCACAAAATTAGATTGACGAGAAGACAATATAAAGAAATAACCTAATAATTGAAAAGATTTAGGTCTTTATTATTAATTGAATTATCTCAGTGTATTGTAATTTTCATATTCCTACTTTCAATTGGAGTTACATTGTTTTAGGCTGCTACTCTTCCTCTCACTCATCAGAACTTGTTTGTGCTATATGTACCCTGAGTTAGGCAACTGTTGTGGGTTGCATGCTGGAGGTCAGTGGTTGGATTGACAAGCCTGACAGATTTCCCAGACAAAACCATGCACAACCTCTGAGTCATGTAGCTTGTGTATCATTTTGTATAGTGTGCAGAACATTGTAGACTTGAGCAACTACTGAAAGATAATATTGAAAAGTAATTATAAATATCACTGCAGTGACGAGTAAAGACATTAGTCCATCTGTCAATATAAAATGACTATATGAGAATGATCAACAAAGTTATGTGCACCAGATTATTGGGACATCTTGGAAGGATAGGGTGCAACATCACCTTGATATGTTGGAAATTAGTGAAACTAACTACTGAAAATTACTTGCTTATATGAATGGCAGTACTACAGTTCTTACCAAACACAATCAGGAGGTTATTATTCACAAGTGCTCATAAGGAGTTAAATGCTGATGCAGGGTCCCAGTAGTACAGTTGGGTTTGCTCTCGGCTCACAATTGGGAATCCCAGGTTCGAATCCTGGCCAGGACAGAAATGGTTAGACCCATTTCCTTTCGCCTAATACTTCTGTTTACCTAACAGAAAATAAGTACCCGGGAGATAGTCAACTGTTGTGGAGTTGCATCTTGGGGAGGGTCAGTAGTCTAACCTTGGAGAGGGGGGCGAGGATTCCTCGGTATAAGCCTAATGTGTACGTACATGGGCTGCATATCTCCAATAAAATTAATTATATTATACCCATGTGACGAGGTTCAGCCACTATTTAATTTAATATGCCTTTGCCCGTTGGAGAGGATTGATACAAATAAATAAAAAAATTTACTTTGGAAGCTTAAAAATAAAATTTCTCTTCTAAGTGTGAAAATATTAGTAAGCCTCAAAATGATAGGTTCTTTGACTATTTTTAGCCATAGGAATTTGGGAACATGATCTTAATAATCTGTTGATTTTGCAGCAGGATCATTTGTTATTACAGGTACCTGAACCAAGACCAGGTCAGTGTGTGAAAGATTCAAGCACACTACCAGATGTCACCCTAAACTTTATTAAAACTCATTCACTGATGGATGAAGCAGTGCCAGCTTTCTTTGGACAACCTATAATCATCAGCACAAGCTTCCAGTAAGTTGCTTCTTATCCTGAATGTTAATAATTTATGAAGAATTATACATTGTGCATGAATTATACCCGGTAGTTATATATAAGATTTATTGTAGTAGGATCAGAGAAAAGATACAGTAAATCCATTTTTGTTTGGATTTACTGTATCTTTTCTTGTTTGTTTCTTGAAATGTTTCTTCTCCCTTAAACATTTTCTGAGCCGTTATATTCAGCTGCTCCCTCAAGTAAGATTTTATGTATTCTTGTACATGGGTTATGCAGTCAGGCAAGACAACATACACTATGGCGCTACACAAAACTTTCAAGCATTACTGTAGAATCATATTGTCCTGAGGCATTGGAGAAATAACACAGCTCAGAAATGACACAAATTTTTTCACAAAAATTAAATCCCCTTCCAAGCCTTAGCTTATCATTACAGTCGACTGCTTAGTAAATCTTACCAACTGCCACCAGGTGGCAGTAACTTTCTCACACACGAGTTCATTGATTCAAGCCAGATCAAGTACTTCCTAACTGTACTCCAGACATTGAGTTACCAATTGCCTTGCATTGATTTTGGGGATCAACGTCCCTGTGGCCCTGGTCCCTGACCAGGCCTCTTGGACCTGGACCTTCAGTGAATATTCTTTTCAGCTAGAAACATGGTTTATCGCACACTCTAAGCCAAATATTTATGGGTTACACTTCTATATGCCCATATAAAACTGTATGTGTAATTACCTAAGTGTAGTTAAAGGATGAGAGCTACGGTCTTGGTGTCCTGTTTTCCCAGCACTCTTTGTCATATAACCCTTTGAAACTACTGACAGTCTTGGCCTCCACCACCTTCTCACCTAACTTGTTCCAACCGTCTACCACTCTGTTTGTGAAAGTGAATTTTGTTTATATTTCTTGGGCATCTATGTTTAGTTAGTTTAAATCTATGACCTCTTGTTCTTGAAGTTCCAGGTCTCGGGAAATCCTCCCTATCAATTTTATCAATTCGTGTTACTATTTTGTACGTAGTGATGATATCGCCTCTTTTTCGTTTTTCTTCTAGTTTTGGCATATTTAATGCCTCTAACCTCTCCTTGTAGCTCTTATTCTTCAGTTCTGGGAGCCACTTAGTGGCATGTCTTTGCACCTTTTCCAGTTTGTTGATGTGCCTCTTTAGATATGGGTACTATACATATTCCAGTTTTGGTCTAACAAATGTCTTGAACAATTTCTTTAGTATTTTGCCATCCATGTATTTAAAAGCCATTCTGAAGTTAGAAAGTGTAGCGTAGGCCCCTCGCACAATATTCTTAATGTGATCCACAGGTGATAGTTTTCTATCTAGAACCACGCCTAGATCTCTTTCTTTATCAGACTTCTTTAAAGATTTCTCACATAATTTATAGGTTGTGTGGGGGTCTATGTTCTCCTATTCCACATTCCATAACATGGCATTTATTTACATTAAATTCCATTTGCCAAGTGGTGCTCCATATACTTATTCTGTCCAGGTCATTGAGTACTCACCTGTGTGTGTGTATTTACTATTTGTGTGCAGAATCGAGCAATTAGCTCTTGAACCCCGCCTTTCTAACCAATCTATTTTCCTCTTGTTTTATTTGCTTGATACATGCTTGATGGGGTTCTGGGAGTTCTTCTACTCCCCAAGCCTGGCCTGAGGCCAGGCTTGACTTGTGAGAGCTTGGTCCACTAGGCTGTTGCTTGAAGCGGCCTGCAGGCCCACATATCCACCACAGCCCGGTTGGTCCAATACTCCTTGGAGAAAATAATCTAGTTTTTCTTGAAGATGTCCACTGTAGTTCCCACAATATTTCTTATACTCGCTAGGAGGATGTTAAACAACTGTGGACCTCTGATGTTTATACAGTGTTCTCTGATTGTGCCTATGGCATCCCTGCTTTTCACTGGTTCTATACCGATACTATACTGAGTGCCTGTGCTACTGGCACCTTTGCATTTCTTTATAAATATTGAATTCCATGAATTTGGACCTGGAGCTGAGTGCATGGGCATGTTTTCAATTTCTCTTTCAAAATCTTCAACGCTCGTGTTTCGATGCGTGTCGAACCCCTTTCGTGTCAGGGGTTTCGATATCATGCATAAAGAAGCTGTCCAGCTCTTCCACTTTCATGCTGTTTATTAGAGTGCTAATCATGTTCTCATACCGCTCTTTTAGGATTTCACTATTTTCTTTGTCATCCTTAGTGTATGAACTTTCACTCGTATGAATAGGTCCAATACTGGTAGTGGTTTTTGCTTTTGATTTTGCATATGCAAAGAAATATATTTTTTTTTAATTGCTTTCTGTTCTAGTTGCCTTTCTTCAATCTGATATGAGTGTTTCAGTTTCTGCTCAATTTCTTCAATCTCTGTATAAATTATTTCTCTTTTGTAGGAAAAGTTATGTCTGCTTAAGCATTTCCGTATTTTTCCTTCTTTTATAGTGTCGTCTGCGTTCTCTTTCTACTTTGGACCTATTTCTGGCTTTCCTCAAAGGAACACATTCCAGACAGACTTTATATGCTTCTGAAGTCAGTTTTTCTATCCCTTTTGTAGAATTTTTATAACTTACAACAGTTTCCCATGGAATGTTTGTAAGTTCCCTGTTTATTGTCTCCCAGTCTATCCTTTTATTATTAAAATTGAATTTACTGAATAACCCCTTTCACTTGTTCATTGTTTTAGGTCTATTCTGAGTACTGATGGTAGTTTGCACTTCAATGAGCTTGTGATCCGAGTATGTGATATCTGAAATCGTAATGTCCCTGATTATGTCTTCATTGTTTGGGATGACCAGATCTAGAATATTTTTGGTTCTAGTTGGGTATAGTTAAGGGTTAGTATTTTGTAAGTTGTGATCATATCACCTCTTTTCCTTCTATCTTCTAGTTTTGGCATGTTTAACACCTTTAGTCTCTCCTTGTAACTCTTGTTTTTCAGTTCTGGAAGCAATTTTGTAGCATGCTGGTGCCCTTTTTCCAGTTTATGTGCTTTTTGAGATTTGTGCACATGCAACTGCTGCATATTCCAATTTTGGTCTCGCAAAAGTCATGAACAGTTTCTTTAGTATTTCACCATCCATATAATTAAAAGCAAGCCTGGAGTTGCAAAGCGATGCATATGCTCCTCTCACAATGTTCTTTGTGTGTTCCTGTGGTGACAGTTTACTATCCAAAACCACCCCTAGGTCTCGTTCGTTATTAGAGTGCAATAATTCCTTTCCGCATAATTTGTATGTTGTGTGTGGTCTATTTTCTTCATTTCCACATTCCATAATATGGCATTTATTAACATTGCTTTCCATTTGTCACTTGACACTCCAAGAACTTATTTTTATCTAGATCGATTTGAAATGCATTACAATAGTCTTCCCCAGTATCTTAGCATCATCCACAAACATATTCATATAATTCTGTATTCTTTCTGGTAGATCATTTATGTAGATGATGAACATTACTGGAGCAGGAACTGAACCCAGTGGTACTCCACTAGTAACACTCCTCCAGTCATATACATTGTCTGTGATTACTGCCATCATCTGTTTGTCAGAAAAATTTTCATCCATGTCAGAAGTTTCTCTCACTCCTCCAGCATGTTCCAGTTTCCAGAACAGCCTCTTGTATGGGTGTGTGTGTGTATGTGGTGCTACTAGTTACTGCATGTCCCTAAATCTTCTGGATTCTGCTTTTAGGTCAGTATTGATGTGAATAGCTATAGCTTAGCTCTCATGACAATGCCATTTCCTTCACGGTCCACTAGTCATAGATTTTTAAGTCTGTGCACAGGGTACAATTTGTCCTTCCCTCACCTGTGTGGTGTCAGCATGGATCATCCTGTGACTGAAAGTGTGCCTTCATGGAGTGGGTGACTTTTTATTTTCATTTTATGTCCACAAGCATCCCTTTCCTTCCTTTTTGGGCATACTGATAGTTTATGGATACTTGAGCACTTATGCTTTGGTAACCAGGCTTCTTCCTGGTATTGTGGTTAGGGTTGGAGGATCGAGTGACCTGTTGCTGATGGCTGATTAGACCTGTTATGGCTGATGTCCTTGTTAAACAGAACAAAGAAGAAATACTGCCTCGATTTGGTGAATCTCTTTGGTTCAGTTACATTAATATAAACTTAATGTGTTCTGGTGTTTGGCAATTTAGAGAAGCCCATCACTGATAGTATACTTTGCATCTGTTGATGGGTGACTTGCTGGGCATGTTCTTACTTATACTTTAATTCCTTCTGTGTTTTTAGACATTCAGTTGGTTTCACCTTGGGTTGTCAAGTGTTACTCTGGTTAAATCTACAATTCAGTGGGTCACTTCATGAAATCTTGGGTTCATGTATGGGCAAAACATAAACAAAGAAATGGGTAATACAAAGGCTCACAGATGCTGCCACAAGGCCAAAGACTGCCTTGACAAAATAAGCCTAAAACTGCTTTGATAAGGGCATAGTAAGTTATTGTTAATTTTTGTAGATTGTCTTAGCATTCTATGCAGTGGTGCTGTTGGGAGTTTGAAAACTTATGTCTTATATGAAAACTTATATATGATGAAAACTTATATGTCGCAATATAGTTGTGACATATAATATGTCGCAATTATATTTAAAATTTCTTGGGATTTTCCTAAATACTTTTATATCTGGTTTATATGAATTAATGTGTATACCTAAATCTTAACCTTTACTATTTCTAATATTCTCTAAGGTGTAAATTTTCTTATTAATTATCAACATAAATTACAGTTTTATTGGCCGTTTCACATCTATAGCAGTGGACGCACAAGTAAGAACACCAGATGGAAAGTCCTATGATGTCCTCTTCATAGGTACAGGTAGGTAGTAGAAGCTGTGTATGGTATAAATCACAGATTATAAACATTTACATATACAAGAATTGAAATGAATATGTAAATTGTATTTACAAAATGCAAATTTATTCTGATCTGTATTAATGTCATTAATTTTGCAGATGATGGCAAAGTGATAAAAGCTGTCAACACAAAATCAGCTGACTCATATCAAGAAGTAGAGCCATTTATCATTGAAGAGATATCTGTGTTTCCATCTGATATTGCCGTAACTTCTCTACAAGTGATCAAACCAAGAGGAAAGCAACCACGTTTGCTAGTTGGATCACGTTCCATGATTCATTCAATTTCCTTGAATCGCTGTTACACTGACAAGAGTATATCTTGCAGGTATAATCAATCTTCTCTTTATTGTTATTAGAAATGGGTTTTATTCATAACACTAAATTTGATGATCATAGTCTTACATGGATATAAGACTAAGGAATAATTATTCTACTAATGGTGTCTTGTAGCAAAGTTGTCAGAACAGTTAACACACAATCAAATGATACCGGATTCAATACCCACATAGGATGAGACATTTAGGTGCATTTCCTTATACCTGATGTCTTAATTCACTTAGCAGTAAACAGGTACTTGTTAATTATGAACTTTTTGTACGTTGCATCCTGGAAAAGATCATTCATTGGTCTAAGGGGACAGTGATCAGCTCAACAGGCTTCATATCCCAGACAATATTAAATCATTTCCTTCTGCTTTTTCTTAAAGGGTGGTGAATGTAGAAGAGGGCTCCGACTTGGAGCCCTCTGTCGGGGGTTTCCCGGGACTCGGGGAGGGGGAATCTGCTTGGAGCGCTGGGACTCTTTTTGACCTTGTTTAGGACCTTATGTCTTCTGGGCAGGGATTGTTGCTGCTGGGAAGAGGGTTTTTGTTCCCACCTTCCCTTCTGAATTGGGAATTGGTATTCCTGTATTTGATGACATGGTTTATGCACCCTCACATTGGATGCATCCATCTTATGCTTGGATGTTTTGTACTAGAAAAAACTAAACAACACGCAAACAATGAATGACTAAATATATTGTCTCTCATGTGTGATTCAATTGTGATTCAAAGACCATTTAATGCACTTTATTTTGCAATAAATGTCTTCATGCACACTGACATCAATGTGCATGGAGTTCTTGCCTACTGGGACCACGAACCAGAACCTGGCCCCCCTCAAAGAGGCATGAGGAACAATGGCCTATAGAAACCCGTGTGGTTGGGAGCATTCTATGTCTGCCATCGACCGGGTCTGGCATCCAGAAAGGTAGGTGCCCCAAAACAAACCTCCTATTCTAGTGAAAATATTGCTACTGAATGCTGAACAAGTGGACAGAACTCCCCAAATGAAAATTAGCAAACTTGCATGATGTCATCACATTGCCGCACCGCTGTCTTTGCAACCCCACCCTCTCCCCGGGAGGGGAAAGGCGGAGCCCCAAACCCTTGCGTCGGTAATCCACCCTTCAGTTCTTGGCTGATGTGTTGCTGGCAGGTTGTTTGCCTCTGGCTCAGGATTTTGTGTCAGTTTCTGTGCCTTGTGGCTTAGTCCTGTCTTTACGGTCGGTGTGCAAGCCAGGAACTCAGTCAGCTGAGTTTTTTGATTACCCCTGTTTGCCTCTGGGTTGCGGGTAGTTTGTCATTTGTTGGGGCGCAGGGTACAGCACAGCTTGTTATCACCTCTCATAGTGGCCGGCTCTGTTCTGCCTGGGCACGTTGCCCTCTTGCTGGGTTTTCTTTTTCATTTTGTTTTCTCTTCATGATGGAGGGTCTGCCTCTTGGTTGGTCATTCCCTATTGTTGTTGGTGTCCTCCGCTAGATCCTCATGAGTATACACGTCCCGGGGGTGCAGCTTTTAGCAGTTTGCTTGGTAATTTTGGGGTGCTGGTTAGCTGTACCCCTGCCTGGGCTTCCCTTAGCATGTTACCAAGGCTAAGGGCTCTGGGAAACCCCGCGGGGGTTTCTTGGTCTGATGGATGCAACCCCTGAGTCCCCTCTCACTTCGTGCGAGGTTGACGGTTGCTCTGTCCCCTTGTCTTAGGGTGACAATCACCTGTTGTGCCTCCGCCATGCTGCCTGCCGAGTCAGTGATTCTTTTGACCCGGAGTCATGCGACATTTGTTGTTTGTACGTTCTCCAGTTCACCCAAGCTACTGATCGTGATATGCAGGCGCAGACAGCTGAGGTGTTGTATACTAGGTTTAGGTTGTCGTAACGCGATAGGTTGGTTGCTTCCCCGGATGCCCCGAGACTGCCCTGTTTTGATTATAAGGACCCAGACTTCGGGATGGGAGTCGCTTTGACTTTGGTTCCGTCTGCTCCTTCTTGTCCTTCCCCTTCGGTTGTTCATCCGGTTCCACCCCTCTTGCTTCCAGCTCCGAAACGTCTGAGGGTTTCGGAGTTGGGGCAGGGTCTAGTTGGTGTTGAGACTCGGGTGGTCTCGGGGAAGTCCCCTTCCGGGCTGGCAGCGGAGGCATTCGAGCCTAGTCCTCGAGCCGGAGCCACTGGGTCTGACCAGTGGGCCCCCTTCATTCCTGCTTTTTCAGCTGCTCCTGCCTTTTCTTTAGAGGCGAGGGGGTTTGGAGGACGGCTCGGCTTCAGGTCCTCAGGGTGAGGTTCCCAGGGCAGAGGAGGGATTGATATGGGGGCATTGGGCCCCATTGGACCCCACCTGGGTTTTTTACCCTCGAAGTGGGGGTTTGGTGTTACAAGGAGAGGGGTTCTCTTTCGCTCCCTCTTCGTATGAATTGGATTTGGTGTCTACCCCTCCCCGGGTTGGGTTCTGTGATCCTGTTGGTTCTTTGGTCCCGCGTCCCGTCCCAAGTGGTGCGGGAAACCCTTGCGGCTTACCTCCTGCATGACCCAGATTATGCTTTTGTAATGGATCCGCATTCCTTCGTATATGGATCTTCGTGTCCTTACTGGGTTCGTTATGAAGTTCCGGAGTCTTCCTGGTTAGCAGACTGCCCTCTCTTCTTGTTGGAGGCTTGGCATATTCTGTCAATCCCGCATGCTTGAGTGGAGGGAGGCTCAGATGGCGTAGCAGGTTTTCCTGGGGGGCAAATTTGAGCATCTCGATGCGTACTTGTTCGCCTCTGCCCTTCCGTGGGATGTTGGTGTAGTGCAGCGTCATGTGCAGGTTCCTTCCCTTTCAGCTGCATTGGTCGCTGAGGATTTGCGCACGCGTGGCCTGTTGGCTTCGCCTCTGCATTTCGTCTCCTTCCTTGAGTTGTCCTTGGACTGGCTTGAGGTGGATGTGGAGCCGCTTGGGGTCACCTCTGGGTCTGGTGCGTTTCCCTCAGCGGTGCGTATGTCATCTGCTTTATTAAAACTGTTTGTGCCACTCCTGCGGGATGCGGTTTTGCGGTTTTTTGCTTCTCGACTCGCTTGTCGGCAAGTGGTGCTCGCTTCTTCCTCGCAAACCGCTTGGGCCCCCTGGCTCTTAGGCTGTCTTCACCCTTTTGTCCGTTGCTGTTTGCTGAGTCTGCGGTTGTGCAGTATCTGCATGCAGCTTCGGCTAGTTGCCGTCCTATGTCGGATTTGTTGATCCTTTGGGGGGCTCGTGGGGAACCTTCCCAGCAGGGTCATGCCAGGGCTCGGGGGTTTTTCCCGTATTGGTAAGCCAGTTGTGCCAGATTCAGTACTGGCGCAACCTTCGGTACCGTCTGTTTATGTTTGGTCCAGTGATCGTCCTGTGCGTCAGCCCTTTCTCGGTTCGTTCCATTGATGGGGCGATGGAGGAGAGGCTTGCTATATTTGCTCACGCCTGGTCCTATGGTCCTATGCAGCCTATGGTGGCATTGGGTGGCCCCTCCTCCTTCGGGGGGTTCAGGGCTGGCAAGGCAGGCCTTTTCTCCTGCACTCTGTCAGGTCGTCTCGGAGTGGGTTTGTTTGGGTGTAGTCGAAACGACCTCGTTCCCCCAGGTGGGTTTCCAGTGTGTTTCCGGACCCGAAACGGGACTACGCAGACCTCCGGTTCAATATGGACTTGTCCAGTCTGAACCCATGAGTTTATTGCCCCTCCCTTTGGATGACTACTCTATCCCAGACACGTCTTCTGTTGGAGCCAGATGCTTTGATGGTGTCCCTGGACTTCAAGGACGCGTATTGGCACATCTGGATTCATCTGAAGTTCAGGGACTGGCTAGGTTTTGTTGTGGGGCGTCAGAGTTACCACTTCCTTTGCCTTCCATTCGGTTTGAATCTGGCTCGTCGCATTTTCACATGCCTTACTTGGGTCGTGGTGGCCCGCTTGCATCTGTTAGGCATTCAAGTTCTGGCCTACCTCGAGGACTGGCTGGTGTGGGCTCCCATCCAATCCTCATGTCTGCTCACCAGGGATTTGGTTCTTTCCCAGCTTGCTGGGTTCGGGTTCCTGGTGAACTGGTGGAAGTCCCATCTGGTTCCCTCTCAGGTTTGGTCTTGGCTGGGTCATGTGTGGGACGCTCGGACCGCTTCCCTGTCTCTTCCTCCTGCGGCTATGCTTCGGCTGTGTTCTCATTTTTGTCTGTTTTTGAGGGGCTCCCGGGTCATGTGCTGGTTGTTTGAGGGTTTGTGCGGGAGCCTGAACTTTGCCATGATGGTCTACCCGCCGGGTCGGGTGTAGCTTCGTTGGCTGTTCTGTTTCCTTTGGGGACGTCCCTTCCGCCTCTCTCGAGACCACTGGGTTCGGCCTCCGGCGGCTTTGCATTAGTTGCTGCATCGCCGGGTTCCTCTTTGGGTTTTTTGGGATTAAGTGCCTTGGCGCCTATCCGAGCCCTTGCTCGATGTGTTCACGGATGCATCATCTTTGGGCTGGGGCTTTGTGATCAGTGCTCACCAGCCCGTCCTTTTGTCAGGCTTGCAGCATGGTGCGGGAGTTTCGCGACTGTGTGGATGTCGCTCCGAAGGATTCGGGTCGCTCATGGATCAATGATCCAGTTCCAATTGGACTGTTTCCCGGTGGTTCATTGCCTGAACCGCGGGGGTTCGATGCGGTCCTTGGCTCTTTGGGGCTGAATGCTTCGGGTGACTCATCTGCCGAGTTCTCGGGGTTTGGCTCTCCTGGCGGTTCACGTTCGGGGGAGTGTCAGTGTCCTGGTGGACAGCCTGTCCTGGTTCTTTCCCCTTTCCACAGAATGGACGGTCTCGGCGTGGTCGAGGCGTCTCCCAGTATACACTGTATGTGGTGCCCTTCCCCGACTGCAAGGCCGTCGGGGTCGATGCCTTCCGGCAGGACTGGGCAAGGTAGGGTTACCTATACCTCTCTCCCCGGTTCAGCTGCTGCTCCAGGTCCTGGCTCACTTGGAGACTTACCAGGAAAGAATTGTCCTTCTGGCTCCTTGGTGGCTGACCCAGCCTTGGTTTCAGGCATTGCTTGCTGGGTGTCCGAACCCAAGGGTCTTCCTGCGGCTCTGCCTCTTTCAGCAGATCGGTCCAGCCCGGTACGAGGCTGGTTCATTTTTCTCCTCGAGTCTTCGCGTCGGGAGTTTCTTACTCGGGTCTATCATCATTTGTATGGTGTGCTGGTGGCTTCATTGTTGGTCTCCCACATGCATGCTTTGTCTCGGCGGCAGTATGAAATTTTCTGGCAGTCCTTCCGGTTTTTCCTATCACTGCGTAGGCGTATTTCGGTCTTTGATGGGGTTGTCTTGTCCTTCCTTTTGTGGTAGTTCCAGGACTGTAATCTTATGCTGAATACTGTCGCCTCGTATCATGCGGCACTGGCGAAGCCGTTGCAGCTTGCATTCGGTATTGATGTTACTTCTGCTCTGTTCCTCAAGCTGTCTCGTGTGTTGTTTTACCTCTGGCCTGCTTATGTGCCTCCTCAGCCATCCTGGTCATTGGACCGGGTGCTTTCTTTTCTCTCTCTTCTCCTCAGTTTGTCGTGGCCTCTTCGGTTCAGGATTGTTTTCTAAGGTTCTTTTCCTGTTGGCGTTGGCCTTTGGGGGGTCAGGTCGGGGAGCTTCATGCTCTTCTCTGGCGCAGGGGTTTCTGCTCTTTTGGTCCTGGTAGTAGGTTTGTTCGTCTGCAGCTGTCTCCTTCTTTTCTGGCGAAGAATGAGTCTGCCGCTTTCCGGAGGAATCCATGCGTTGTTGATGCTTGGCTGGTTCAGCCAGGGGTGCATCATGTGTTGTGTCCGGTTGCGACTTTCCACTGTTATTTGGGTGCCACGGCTTCGGTGGCCGGGGATGCGCTTTGGGTTTACCCGGTTTCCTTCCTTCCTGGGTCTCCCAGGTCGTCCACAGAGTTATCAAGTATAGCCAGCCTGCGGTCTGTTCTCGTGCTCATAATGTTCGTAAGTTTGCTGCTTTCGCTGACATCTTTGGCAACATGTCTTGGGTTGACATTCAAATGCGGGGTTTTTGGAGGTCAAACAGAGTCCTGGTCACTCGTTACCCTGTCAGTGTTCCTGATCCTCATAGGGCCTGCTTTACATTGGGTCGGCGGTTGCAGCCAGTTGTCTCAGCTTCGAGTTGAGGAGCAAGGAGACCACATCCCGGCTAAGTCCCTGTTTTCTGTTATCTTTGGGTAGTTAGCTCTGGGGAGCCAACAGGGCTCCCTCTAGAAAACCAGTGTTGAATGTAATGAAATGCAATTTTCTAGGTGAGACCCAGAGGCTCCCCTGCACCCTCCTTCCCTCCGGTCGGCGGTGTTTTCGCGTGTTTTGACATCCTGCCTCAGAACTGAAGGGTGGCTCACCGATGCAAGGGTCTGGGGCTCCCCCTTCCCCCTCCTGAGGAGGGGGGGGAGTTTGCACAGACAGTGGTGCAGCAACATGATGACATCATACTAGTTTGCTAATTTTCATTTGGGGAGTTCTGTCCACTCGTTCGACTTTCAGTAGCAATATTTTCACCAGAATAGGGGTCTGTTTTGGGGCATCTATCTTTCTGGATGCCAGACCCGGTCGATGGCAGACATGGAATGATTCCAACCACATGGGGGTTTCTATAGGCCATTGCTCCTCATGCCTCTCTCAGGAGGCCAGGTTCTGGCTCGTGGTCCCCGGTAGGCATAGAACTCCAATCGAATTGACTGATTTGACAGTCTAATACATACATATCAGCTCAATAAAGTCCGGGGAGCCTCCGGGACTCGCCCAGAAAATGAGGTTTTATTACATTCAACGCTGTTTTTTTTTATTTTTTGCTCACAAAGGGGTTGTTAGTTATTAAAAGGTGTGCAGCCCAGGGGTTAGTGACAGTGGGCAGGCCACAGTAATAATTCAAGTTGTCAGGGAACAGGAAGCCTATACTTAGGCTTTTGAAGGCCCCTTCAGGTAGAACTACTGACCCTCCCTAGGATGCAACCCACAACAGTTAGCTAACTCCCAGGTACCTATATGCTGTTAGGTAAACAGAGGCATCACCTGAAAGTAAGTGTGCCCAGCCATTTCTGTTCCCCCTGGGGATCGAACTTTGGATCCTTGATTGTGAGTCAAGAACATAGATGAGAGGAGATCCTTGACTGGATCTGTTAAGATACAGTATTCTATGAAAATACTTACTACAGTACTAGAAAGTTAGATAAAATCAGGCATTTCTTGGGTAGTTTAATACAGACTAGTGAAAATTCTAATATTGTTACTGTATACATATAATGTGCTTTATATACATTTTATATTTGATTAATGTTATTATTTTCAGTGAGTGTGTTGCTTTACAAGATCCTTACTGTGTCTGGGACAAAAATAATCGTAAATGCCGCATGCTGGGTGGTGGGAAAGAGATGATCCAAAATATCAGTGATGGTGTTCATAGTGATTGTGGAAAACCAGAGAAGAAAACTCAAAAGCCATCACCTTCTGCCTCGGTTAATCCCGGTGCATCTGGCACTCCAATTCCTATTACTCCGGAGGATGATCTAGGTAAATGCGGAAAGATGTTTTATAGGTGTTTTAAATAAAAATATGAACTACTGTATACAAAAAATTGTCCCCAGAACAGAAAATGTAAACATCTTTTAATTACTATGAGTGAGTTTTAAAGTTGTCTGTATGTGTAAGTGTTACCCAATAATTTTTAGTGTATAGCAGGTTGGTGTCATATGCTTTTACCCTGTATGTAAAAGTTTGGAGGAATGAGGGAAAAACTTACATAATGTACTCAGGAATGATTGCTTAAAGATATTATATTTGAGTCATCTTACTTAATGCTTTGTATAAAATACCAGCTATTGATTGAACTTTTTTTGGGCTGCTTTTAGGCTAAATCACCATATGCTCACTGAGCCGAGATGAAAAGCCTAGTTTGCCACCCTGGGTGCCCATGGTGACACATGACTGTTGCAACCTGTACATGTTTGCCTGATCCAGCTTTGTTGCTTTTTATAGCAATTGCATCAATTGATCATTTTCCCCTCACACCCTGTGTTTGAATGTGGGACTCTGTTCCTTGCCCCTTGTCTATTTGGTATTGGGAAAATTCGATGTTTTCAGTGGGCACTGAGAGTAGGCCTTGGCTGCCTTTTGATCTGGCCTATGTCTAGTCCCAAGGGTGGAGAGATTTTGTGGACTTTATGTCCAGGTAGAAGATCTTGTGTATCTTCCCTCCAAGTTTGAGCTTGAGGTCACCTGGGCTTCTTCTCAGATGTGTTCCTGAATGCTGATGTTTACATTCGATCTGCCACTTTTGCAGGATTCCCACAGTTGTCTCTCTCCTTCTAAGTGAAGTGAAATTTGATGTTGCTTATGATGCAGGAAAGGGACCATGTGTCTTAAATGGACTAGAGTTAATTTGATTTTGGGTTCACTATTTCCTGGTATACGAGATTCTGGTTATTTTGGAGGTTCAGCAATGACAGGCGTTACAAATCTATGGGTGAAAGGATCTTTGAAACCAACAAGCAGTGATGAAGGCAACAGAAATAGCTGGCACCTGCACTTGGACAGTCTTAAAGAAGGTCAGTCCACTTGTCTGAAAGATGACCAATAACCAGGAAAGGTACTACTGGGGGTAGGGCTTCTCAGGGAAGACAAGGTGTCCAGTTGGAACTATGTATGTGTTGATCTGCTACCTGGTGGTGCCAGGAGAGTTAGGACAGGTATACAATTTAACTATCCCATGCATTGATTTGACTCTTCTTTAGAGAGTTGTTGATGGTTTTGCTTTTCAGTTCAGTTTTCTGAGCACTTCATTTTGCTTGTTAGTTGATCTTTGATTTGCAAATACTCCCCTTGCCTTGCTGAGGGAAGCCAAATTTCAGTCCTGGGGCCAGATTCACGAAAGCACTTACGCAAACACTTACGAACCTGTACATCTTTTCTCAATCTTTGGCGGCTTTGTTTCCAATTATTAAACAGTTAATGAGCTCCGAAGCACCAGGAGGTTGTTTATAACAGTAACAACATTTGAATGGGAAGTTTTCATGTTTGTAAACTGTTTAATAAATGTAACCAAAGCCGTCAAAGATTGAGGAAAGATGTACACGTTCGTAAGCGCTTGCGTAAGTGCTTTCGTGAATCTAGCCCCTGGCTCCCAGTAAGCTTTGAGTCTTAACACTTTTGCTGCCAAATCATGCATGTTCTGTCGTAAAACCAAAAACCGGAGAGTGCGTGATGATGCAAACGGCATCGTTAATTAAAAAATTTTTAAACGTTCCATTTATTGTCCGAAAACTAAGTGACTTGTTTTAAAATGCACGCCAACATCTTCCCATTCTCTGTATACCCCACGTGGCATCCTGACCCCAACGTGTGGATGCCCACCCACACTGGAGGCTTACTGTTCTCATGACATCGCTCGTGACAGTCACGGCCTCCCCTCAAGTCAAAAAGTTTCCCCCATTCCGGTATTTTATCTCAATTATTTGTTGTTACCGGCTTTATAAACACTGCAAATTGACTTCCAGATGGATACTGATTAAGAACAGAGCCAATCAATGATGAAATCATTGAAAGAAACACACATGAGGGAAAAGTTATTGAATGTTCGTCAAAAGTATAGAAAAGTGAGACTTGTACAGTGGTGCCTCAATTAACGAATTTAATCCGTTCTGGCACTAATAGCATCATGTGAAATGCTTGTCTTGCGAAACAACAACACTGTCGTCGGAGGCATCCGAGAACCAGCGGGAATGCTAGGAAGCACCATGTGGTTTGCTTGTTAATCGAGCAAAAGCTCGTCAATCGAGACAAATTTTCTGCGAGTGGCTCGCTCGTTACTTGAAATGCTCGTAACTGGAGTCGCTCGTCACTCGAGGTTCCACTGTATGTTCTTATACCCTTTACAGCCATTCTATTGCGCACAATTTTATACCAAGTTGAGCGACATAGCATGAAAATTGAGATGAGAAAGCTGAAAAGAGAATAAACATTGGAGTGTTGTGGTGAGCTCACGGGCAACACTCGGGCTACCTTATGGTGCGCGGTGGGTCTAAAGTATAGAAAAGTGAGACTTATATGTTCTTATATGCAAATATCAATTTACAGCATTCTATCGTGAACAATTTGATAGCAAATATAATGTTGTAGCATAAACATTGAGGCGTGAAAACTAAAAAGAAAAAAACATTGGAATGAGGTTGTGGGCTAACAGGCAAGTCTCGGCCAACCTTGCAGTGTGCAGCGGGTCACCCGCCAGGCCAGCGAAAGTGTTAAGAGGTAAATGTTTGGAGGCAGCTCTGGCTTGTCAGTGCTTAGTATCTAGGGAGTTACTGAAATTTTCAAAAAATATTTTGTCGCACGGGCCATTCAGAAGTTGCCACAGATATATTTTCATTTTTTCTATGTATTTTCATTGCTTTATAATTACTTTTTTATCGTATATGATGCACATTTGTGTCCTTTTCAGTATGTATACAGTAGAACGTTCATGATGTTCCATGGAACTGTGATCCATGTGTTAGTAATGTGTCCACAACAAATCTTCATTGGTGCAATATTACCTGTACAATATTCAATATATTAACAATATGTACATTTCACACACTATTTATACAGTCACAAATTGTATTACACACTCAGTACTTCAGAAGCGAGTGGTAATCAAAGAAGCAGTCCATGGTACACAGCACGACTTCACACTCGATGCACCAGGTACAAACAGATTTTCGCTTCCAGTTTCTTCGTTCTGTGTGCTTGCAAATAACACACTTACGTACATCCTTGGCTTTAATACCTGTAGATGGTATGTAGTCAAGCTTGTGAAGTGTAAGGTAGTTTTGAAAAGATTATAGGAAATGATCAATTTGTAAGGTAGTCATGAAAAGATCACTTTGTAAGGTAGGATTGAAAACATCCACGTAGTTTTGGAAAGATCTAGGAAAAGCCTAATGACAAAATTCTGGCCTGATATCACACATATCTTCACCTGTATATGGGAAAGTGTGTGCAACATCAGAATCATCAAATTGTGGTTTGTGTTACAAAATGATCACAGTTCTCCCTCGCAAATTCACCTGTGCTCCTTCTATTGCCACCACCACCACCACTGGCAATAAACACCACCATGGAAGCCCCTAACACACTGTTCATCTATGCTACTTGTATCAGAAGTATCATCACTGAACCCGGAAAACGATTCATCTATAGTATCATCTATAAAAATTGGAGATGACATGGGTGGGCATGGGTGGCACTCAGCTACTACTGGATATGATTGCTGTATTGTCCTCATCAGTGCTGTATCGCTTGTGTCCAACCCTTGTGTTAGGTCCTTATTGTGCCTAGTTTCATCAATATCATAAGCCTTATGTTCTTCAAACAATAAAATCTGAATTTCACCGATGGAGAGCGATCTTTCAACACCACGTCCAATATGGAAGTGGGAGCCAGAGGAGCATGCACCACCCATGGCTGCTCATTCAGAACTGATCCAGCCAGCAGCCCTAGAAAAATCTGGGAATTTTTTTCAAGATGGCTGCCCCTCACTGGCAGTCCCAGGAGTCCATTTCGTCTATTTTGAATGGTACGAAATCTTAAAATTATGTTATCTCAGCCTACGCTTTTTCCGCCACAATTGTCGGCTGGCGCAGTCCAGTGGTTAATGACCAAATCATGAGTAATCATATATATGGGCTAGGTCAACCCAGTATCTTCCTAAGGGTCCAAGTAGAGATGTCAACAGCTTCTGTACATGAAGAGACAACCATGCCATGAAGAGCCGTGACTGAGGAAAATGTAGCTATCAGGAACTTGGTCACCTGTTCTAAGAATATTCAAGTTGGATCAAATGATTCGCAAGTCCAGGGAAGTGTCAGGGATTGGGCTGTTAGTGAGGGAAGGTAGTGTAGCATTCATTTTAATCAGGTGTGTGTGTATGTGAAGGAGTGATTTTTCCATATCTGCACTCTTCACAAAAAAGATGTACTGTATGTACATTGCACTAGCTTGCATGATCAAGGCCAACAACTTGCCAGCCACTTGCCTCCTCAGCCATCACCACATTTCTCTTAAGAACTCAGGTTTTTTAGTGGGGATCCCTGTCGGCTCCCTGATGCAATCTGAACTGATATAGTGTTATGTTGGGGGTGTCAGTCAGTTCTTATGCCTACCGGAGTCCACGAGCCAGAGCCTGGCCCCCTCAGAGAGGCACAGGTAGCAATAGCCTATGAACACTTTACATGTCATACTTGACATCGACCAGGAAAGGCACCCAGAAAGGTATGCAAAACAAAACAGACCACAGTCTGGCTAAAAATGGGACATACATACATACATAAGAACAAAAGAACTACCCCATAAAGAAAAACAAATGAACAACACTTCGTTCACCCGGATCCCTCAGTGGTTGCCTAAGCTTTGCTCTTCTGGTTTATCCTCTGGGCAGGGTTTGGCTACGGAGGCTGTTTCTGGTACCTTTGGAGCAGCCTCTTTCGTCACTTTTGTGATCACTAGATTCATGTCCCTGGGCCGGTTGCTGTGTCCCTGGCTTCCTTTTCGGGGATCAGTGCAATGGTGCCTTCTTCTCGCTTGATGTATTCATGGACGCCTCGTCGGTTGGTTGGGGCTTGGTGATGGGTACTCCCCGGTCCGACTTGGGGCATTACCAGTTGTCCATGCGTCGGGCTGATAGCACGATGGTGGAGTTTGCAGAGGTGTGGCTGGAGGAGGATGGCACTGAATCCCTGTGGCTCATTTTCTCAACCGGAGGAGGGGTCATTCAGACCGTGGCTATTTGGAGCTGGTCGCTTTGGGTAGCTCTTTTTCCGAGTTCTTGGGGTTTAGCTCTCCTTGCTGCTCATACTCAGAGAGTATCCAACGTCTTGGCTGATGGCCTGTAATGCTTCGTTCCTCTTTCCATGGAGTAAACGGTACATGCCACTTCCTTCCTTTGGGTTTGCCGTATGTACAGGAGCCCAAAGGTGGTCCTCTTTGCCAGCGAGGTACCTCACCGGCCCGACTTACTGAAAAAGGCAGATACCACAAAAAAATGCACGGGTTTTGACACCGAGCAAGCAGTGCCTGAAACCTAGGATAGGCTGGCCACCATGGGGCAAGGAAAACTCTCCCCCGATTGATAGGAATCCAGCTGAGCTAGAACCTAGAGCAACAGCTGGACTGGGGAAAAGAGGTACAGGAACCTCCACCTCAACCAGTCCTGCCAAAAAGCATCCACGGCGAGGGTCCCCTCTATCAGGAAACAGCACCACTTACAATGGGAGTTGCCAAGACCACGCTAACATGAAGAGAGCCACATCTAGGCAGAAGTGGCAAGTCGGGCCACATAGTAAGTCACGCCAATGAGGTACCTCGCTGGTTCGCCTTCCTGCTTCACATTACGTGTCTGGTATTTCTGACGATTGTGTATCACCATTTGTATGAGGATCAGGTAGCCTCTCTGATGGTGTCCCACCTGTGGTCTTCATTTCAATGAAAGTATGAGATTTCTTGGTGGTCTATCTGACATTTTCTTTTTCTTCGTCAGATTTTGTCAGTGTTGGTCCAGGTTGTTTTTTTCCTTTCTCTCGTGGCTTTTTCTGGGTCGGCATCTCTTGCCAAATACTGTCGCTTTTTGTGCAACATTGGTGGAACCATTGCAGCTTGCATTCGGGGTGGATGTCACTTCTGCTTCGTTTTGCAAGCTTTTTCATGAATTTTTCACCTCTGGCCTGTTCTTGGTCATTGAACCAAGGTCATTAGTCTGAGCCTTCTTGGACTGGGTTTCTTCTTTTCTTTCTTCTCCTAAGTTTGTGGTAGCCTCTTCTGTTCATTTTGTTCATTTGCAGCCATCTCCTCCTTATACAGCAAAGGATGAGACGGTGGCCTTCCGAAGGGGTTCGTTTGTGATGGATGCTTGGTTGGATAGACCAGTGGTGCTTCACGTTCCGTGTCCGGTAGCTGCTTTACACTGCTACCTGCGAGCCACCGTTTCTGTGTTGGTGGATGGGCTCTAGGTTGATCTGATTTCCCTGGTTCCCTGTTCTAGGGCTTATGTTTCTCGGGTTGTCTGCAGTGTCATTATGGCTAGCCAGCTTGCGGTCTACCCTTGCACCCATGATGTTTACCAATATGCCACTCTTTTGGCTGTCCTTGGTCTTGGGGACCATATTCGGGTGCAGGGGTTATGACTGGAACAGGTAATCACTGTGGCCTGGATCACCAAATGATGATGATTTAATATGAGGGTTAACTGTTAACACTGACATGATACTATGATGTATTACCTAGCAACACCACTTGTGCAGTCATTAGGAGGGAAAAACTGTCACATAAATTGGATGCATCAAGGAGAGAAAAGTGTGAAGTTCAGTGATCCTTCTGATGGTCTTTCTAGGGTAGACTGAGAATTCTCTATAGTTCCCTCTTTTCATGACATGGTAGGTGGCTTGAAAAGATCCCTGTTGAACTAGAAATGTGAATCACGTTGACTATGTTGTAATTTGGCTATATCAAGGGAAGAGCAGGACATTTGCCTAAGGAAGTGACAGATTGGCTAACTCAGAAAAAACTTCTCAGCTTCACTCAAACCATTAATTTTATATTTTGTTTCCTGTATAAACAAAAAATTTGCTGAATGTCTATTAAACCTGTGCATAAATTATCGTATATATGGCCTATGCACAAATCATTCTTGATTGTATAAAATCAAAATGATTGCTAATATCTAATTTAAACATCTTCCACAGATCATAAAGTACCAAGCAGCCAAAGTGTCCCATTACATTTTACAGCTGAAACTTTGGCCATAGCTGTAGCATCTGCAACCATAGGTGCACTCATCCTGGGCTTCATTACTGGATTCTTTTGTGGAAAAAAGTGCAACAAAGATGAAGACAACCAGTTGTATGCTGATACAGATTATGAGTATTTTGATCAGAGACAAAATGCCAATAGGTATGTATTATTTTTCTTGTTTATGCTTTACCAATTGTAAAACAGTCTACAGGTGATGTATTTAGATGAATGAAATATGTTAATATGAGAAGTGATAAAAATTTTCATATTACATTTTAATACAATTTTTGTAGTTCTTTTTGGGGTGATATTTTAATTTTATTTTCGCTTCATGATGTTTCAGACAGATAATGACAATAGTTTAATTGCATTGACCAAAATTATAGAATTATCATATATATTCTTACATCATGATAGATATTAAATTCCAGTCATTAACAATTGTATTTTAAAAAATGATCTATTTTGAGAATGACTTTAAACACATTTTTCACATTCAGGATAACACTCGTGTGGCTGGTTTGCCTCTCGAAAAGTTTCAATTAGCTTTAGCTATACAGTATTTCTGGAAGAGCCCCTTAGTGGCTTCCAGAAGCTAGCTCACTGAGATAGCTTCCCACTACTGAATCATATCGTTCATAGGAATCCTGTTGACCTTCAGGGGGAACAGGGTCAGAAACCTGGCCCTCTGATAGAGGCAAGAGAGCTTGGTGATTATGATGATCATGCACACTGAGAAGGCATCCACAAGGTACGTGAAGTACAGTAATGCAGACAAATGCATGGTTCATGAAACAGCCAGCAGACTCCACAAATGATTCGTGCAGATCCAAACGGTTTGCTGGATCTTGGCTCAAGCCCCTTAGTACACAAAGCCTTCTGTCCAATTTCCATGGAGTGAACCATTGACAGTGCATCCTTCCATTGGCTTTGCAAGATGTTTAGTCACCCAGAGGTGGATCTCTCTGCATCGGTGTGGAACAGGCAGCTTCCCTCCTGCCTGGCTCCATTCCTCGATTGTAAGACTCGTGGTGGATGCCTTTCAACTGGACTGGTCGAGGGTCCTGTTCATTTGTTGCTCAGGGTGTTGTCCAGGTTAGAGAAATACTTAGGCAAGGTGATCCTTCTGGCTCTGTGGTTTCTAGCCTTTCCGGCCAGGTGTCCATCTCTTTCAGAAGGTTAGCCTGGTTACTTGCCTTGCTAGCTTGACATTCACTGATCTATGAATCTGGAGTTATAATTGAATGTTTACCACCATTTGTATAGAGGCACAGGTGGCTGTATTGTTGGTGTTGCACCTAGATCTTTTGTTATGGTGACAGTATGAAGTTTCTTGGCACTCCTTTTGCCCCTTTGTGTTCATCATCCTTCTTCTGTTTCTGTTCCAGATTTTTTTCCTGGTTGTTTATTGATTGCCTTCTTACTGTTGCCTCTTGTTACTCAACTTTGGTAGAGCTGCTCTTGTTGGTATTTGATATTGTTACTGCCTCGGTGCCATTTTGTAAGTTGTTTCATCCTTTCACATCCCCTTGGATCATGGTGGCCCATTCAATTTAGATTATCTTTATTCTTTATTAAGGTGTTGGTTTTGTTGGCTTTTGCCTACAGTTGTAGGGTTGAGTAGTTTCACGCTATCCTTTGGAGACATGGGTTCTGTTCCTTCAGCACTGGTGAGCAGTTTCTTAGTAGTTTGCAGCTTTCTCCATCTTTTCTGATGAGGAATAGGTCGGTTGGCTTCCAGGTTGCATCCTGTGGCATCAGTCCATCGCTATATGTATGCCACCCACACTGCTTTGGTGGATGCCCTATTTGTTGAGCCTTGGTTCCCTGTTCCAAGGCATGTTTTTTTCTAGGCTGTCCTCAATGTCATTAAAGCTGGCCAGCCTGTGTGTGGTCTACCCATGGTGTCACAATGTTCAATGTTCATGTCACAATTCAATTAAGTGTATTTTTTTATCTTTGAAAATCCAAGTTTTACTGTGCTGTGAGATTATGCTGTGCAACTGCTAAGGTAGTATGTATATTTGGAATGTTTTTCATATATGACACGTCTTTTGTGTTGTGACTAAACCAGCCCTGTGACCCAGTCTTTTTTGCTGACTGTCTCTCCAGCAAGAGAACTAGTTCCAGGATTCAACCTGAATACTTTAACTGTTGCATTTCCTATCTACAGTATCTCATTCCTGATGAGAAGGTGCTGTATGTTCAAAGTGATGTGAGGAAGTCCTTTCAACAACTGAACCAGGTGATCTGGCTGAACTCCATGGCTCCCACTCTTTTTAATGTACAGGAGCTGGGTATTGTCAGTTCGAGGAGTCTCTGGATGCTTGAGGGAGAGGTGTTCACGAAAAGGGGTGTGAAAACAATGGCCATTGTTTTCACCTACATGTCCTAGGGCTGATTTTCCAGCCTGTCCTCCTAAGGTTTCCCAACGTCAAGAAATTGGTCAAATTAAAATGTCCTCTCCTAACCTATCAGAGGACTCAAAACAGAAAATGGGACAGTACATCACTTTTGCGAGACACTCCCATTTTCAAGTACGACAATTTTTGGCCTTATGCAAGGCATATGATCGAAATGTGACATTCTTTGTAAGAGGACAGGTTGGATTTTCAGGCTTTGGGATTTGAGAGGTCTCTGGTTCCTGGCAACTCAGGTAGTTGCTATTTTGCTCCTCCCTGATTAATTTTAGGTTTTTCCATCTTTTCTGTTGTTAGATAGCTTCAGGGAGCCACCACAGAGCTCCTCCAGAAAATCAGCATTGAATGTAATGAAACATCTTTTTCCTGGTCGTCCAAACTAACCTGTTGTTGGCCGGAAGTGGGAGTTCCAGGATGCAACCTGTTGGTAGCTTTGAACACTAAGCTTTCAGTGAACCATTTGTATAAGAGTTTACAAGTGATATTTGGATAAGTTTACATTTGCGTAGTCTCTTGGCTGCTTCAATGCTTAGTTTTGTGAACCATGCAATATTGCTTCACTTCCTTTCTGGATGCTTTCTCAGTGTAAGTAATCATATCAATACTCAGCTCTCTGCATTGAGGGGGGGGGGGTGCCTCTTCTGGCTCTGGTCCCAGTAAACCTCAATCAGAACTTCTACGACTGATATGACACAGTAGTGGGAAGCTATCTCTCCAAGCTAGCTTCGGGGAGCCTCTGGGGTTCTACCAGAAAGAGGCATCTCATTACATTTAATGCTGTTTTTTCTTCAACTATTATTTCCCACATTAAAAACAAACTTGAAAGCATATATGCCAAGATGTTTACAAAAAGTGCTTTGATTATAGTACATTTGCTTTTACTTCTAATTGCAATAAACATTTTTCTTTATCTTGGTGTTAATTTTTTGGTTATTACCCAACTTATTTTTGCACATTTTATTTCTTTCCATTTTATCTTTTTTATGTTAAGTACTGTATTCAAATTCTAGATCTCTATTGTAAAAACAGTTTTTGAAAAATACTTTGAAGATGTGCTTGAGAGCTAATATTAGTGATACAAATGCAGTTGCATATAGTGACTCTTTTGGATTTATCTTTCCACAAGCCCTTATGGTTTCCACTTGTTTTCTCCATATTTCTGTATTTCACTGTCAGTATCTTGAAGAGTGGAGAGAATTCCCCAAATGTAATTGTGGCCAGTAACATAAATTGACTCCACTTTCACTTGTAAACGGAAAGCGGTCATGGTCAGGCTGGAGAGTTTGGCGCCATGGCACTACTCGGCACTTGCTCCTCTCAGTACCCGTACTCGACTGCCTCTCATCCTGAAGCGGCTCCTCACTTCCATCCACCTCCCAACAAGATCTAGAGGTACTACTGCTTCAAAAATCACTAAGACACTCTTACATTGCCACCGAGGCTAGAAACTTCACTGCCTTTTCATTTCACATGCTCAAATTTATTTGAACCTCAAGAATTTGTTTCTGAGCCACGTTGGCATGAGCAAGGGCAATATTCTGTGTGCACCTTCACAGTAGAGGTGAGATACTGAAGAATTAAATTTCTGCCTATCAGCAGGCATCTCTAAGGGAAGTGGCACTAGGACTGACAGAAGCATAACTAGGGCTTTGCATTGTGACAACAAAGCTGTGCCCTCTGATCAGTGAGACTGAAAAAGCAGCACCTTGCGAGTGCGTGATTTACCATCTTATCACAAGCACATCATGTGTTAGGAGATTTACAATAAATGGCACTTAATCATTAACTGTTCTAAAGTATATATGTATGCCTGTTGGTATTTAATAATTCAATATTATTCAAACTGCTGGTCATTTCAACAAGTGGAAATCATGTAAAGCTGTGTTATGTATATCTTCTTTATACTATCTTATAATTTACAATTTACAAAATCTCTGTTCTGTGTCACACCTTTCATATAGCATTACAGTAATAATAAATTAATTTAAAAGGAATATTATTTACTGCATTTAAGAGTTTACATCTTATGAATAATAATTAAAATTTGCATTGATTTAATTTACAGCTTTAATTTTTAGTTTACTGATAAAAAGTGAGATGTAACTGACTTTAATTGCCAAAGTTTTAAGGTGTATTTCTGGCAAGAATATGTAGATTTACCTTTTTCTTGGGCTAGTCATTACCATAACAAATTGAAAGGAAGCAAGTTCGAAGGTTTAATGAGTGGAATATTGTGGCTTTCTGGGGGGGGAGCCTCTTCGGCTCCCCGGAGCTTACTAGGCTGATATACTAATGTCAGACTTTGGCATCAGTCATGTGTATGGAGTTCTGTGGGCCTACCGGAGACCACAAGCCAGAACCTGGCCCCCTCAGAGAGGCAAGGGGAGCAATGGCCTATAGAAGCCCCCGTGTGGTTGGAAGCATTCTATGTCTGCCATTGACCGGGTCGGGCACTTTTTTGGTAAGCGTCCCAAAACAAACCCCTATTCTGGTTAAAATTTTGCTAGCAACAGGCAAACAAGTGGATAGAACGCCCCTAAAAGAAACGAAAATGAGTATGACGTCACACGTCACTGCGCCGCTGTCTGCGCAGCTCCCACCTTCCCGGGAGGGGCAAGGGGGAGCCCCAGACCCCCGCGCCGGCTATCCACCCTTCAGTTCTAAGGCTGATGCTAGAGGCAGAGGTCGTGTGCTCTGGCTCCAGTGGTTTTTCAGCACTGTGCTTCGAGTGTGGTGGCT